GGAAGTTGTATTAGTTCTGATTGTAGTGTGACAGATGAGGTGAATGTACGAATCTGCAAGGCTCGGGCCGCGTTTGCTAACTTGAGACACCTATGGCGTCAGAATGGTTTATCCCTGAACCTGAAGGGACGTGTGTATCAAGCTACAGTACGGTCTGTCTTGTTGTATGGCTGTGAGACTTGGACTATTCGAGCAGCGGAAGTGAAACGTATTCAGGTGTTCGACAATCGTTGTCTCAGAACCATAGCTCGTGTGAGTTGGTGTCGGCGACTCCGTAATGAGGCAGTTAGAAAGCGCGTTTTCGGTTGTGCCACGGGTACTTCTATCGAAGAATGTGTCCAGCACTAGAAGCTGCGTTGGTTGGGACATGTGTTACGTATGCCGAACCATCGCTTGCCGAAGAGTGCTGTTTTCCATGCCCAGCTCAGAGTGGCGTAAGCAGAGAGGTTGGCAACCCTTGACCTGGCAGAGGAGTATGAAGGAGATCGGTGCTAGTCGCCTTCCAGGGCGGGGACCGCGTGATCCTCACTGTGCCTGGTTGGAGACACTACAAGATATGGCTGCCAACCGATGTCAGTGGCGTTCTTGTTGCCAGTTTCTATTCAGATTGCCTGAGTGAATGTCTGGAGGTGTAGGCACCTCGGAAGGATTGTGGTTAGCTAGCACTAATTCCCTTCCCCGTCCACCTTTACTCTTTTTACAATAAGGCTTTCAAATAAGTCATGGTTGTACGGTAGTGAAGCATCAGTGTTGAACACTGATGTCATGCTGTCGGTGATGATGATGATGATTGGAGAGGGTCAATGGTAGTGACACTCACTGTAATCGGTGGGTTCACGTTGACCGTACCCGACCTCTAAGTCCCCCCACCAAGCGACATCCTACATTAACGTGCTATTCTGCTGGTTTTCAAGTTCATACCTTATCTAATCTGTTCTTGTTCGTTTGATGTGGCCAGTCTCAAATGCAATTCATTGGTTCCATTTTAGCTTCGGTCTCGTTACTCCCTTTGACAGGGCAGATTGTGTATCCGGTCATGAATTTATTATTTGGGCCATTTACTACGTAGTTTATTACTGTATCTGTCTGTAGCTTACTGGTCCACGTCCTTGAACAACCCAACTCGGTATCATTTATTTCAGACAAATGCTGATGCTCTGTTATCGGGTTTCCACGAATCGTGGGTCATTGGCAATCAGGCGAATTCACACATGATGACAGCTGATGTTGCAGGCCTGTCCGCCACTACCCATGGTAACATACATATGACCCAGTGGATCCATGATGTTGCTGCTTCAGTCGACAATACATCAGGGTTACAGAACTCTAGTTTGTCCGATCGACAATCCGACATAGCACAAGAATGGTTGGATCTACATGATGAAGTGTCGCGACTTCGTTCTGTCGCTGACGATCTCAGGTGAGTCATTGCGCAATGTGGACACGCCGCAGATGTTATTATTGTGTTATGTATACTTGAATCCTGTTATTCCTGTTGTTTCAGTTCGCGGACACCTAATTGGTTGGCATTAGCTGAATTTTGGTTGAAATCACCTACTCACATTCGATCTCATAAAAGACTCACAGTGTCCATAATGGTGCTCATTCGGCGTGATATGTAACGGCCTCTTTGGAGAAATAGAGCCGACAGGTTTTTTTTAAAAAGCGATCAGGCGCCGTCCGGAGACAAGTTCCTGATGAACTCTACCACGGTTCATTGTTCTGGGCCTATACACGCACGAAGTGATATAAACTAGTCATTTCCGTATTGTTTGGTGTTTGTTCGATACAGGTTGCTTGCTTAGTTGTGTCTGTATTTCTTCAAGGCCCGTTAACCATTTTATTGACTTTTTCTTTTGCGACGTTCAAATCAATGTATTCTGTGCCAGCAGTACGTTTTATAGGGTTGATTAGAGCTCACCGGTTTCGCTATGCTTCCGGGCTCATCAGGCATGCGCGCTTCCCAGATTTTTAGATCTGTATGTTTGTCTTACCAACTGTTAACTTTTCAGACGGTCTTTATACGGGTAAATTGTCAGATAATTTTCTATCCGAATGGCCATCCATCCCCGCCCGGGACTCGATGATTGTGGGTCATAGGCATGGACCCTAACTGAAGGTTCACAGTGAAGGTGTGATAAAATCCAGAGAAACTCAATCGCATGAGGCTCTTCTTCCTCGCTGGGACTCAGCAACTGGTCCCACAGGAATCGTATACTTGACCATTCGGTTAACACTTATAGGATCCAATCATACCTTTACTGTGAACAGTAGGCGTACAGTGAACTACTCCACCCGGGTCAGTGACCTTTCAAGTAAAGTGGTCTGATTGTCCACAAGTAGTCAGTGTTTGGTTGAACAAAGGCCCGTAATGAACTCAATTTCCCCAGCTCCGCATACCTTCGGATGACCTGGGCTGCTGTGATAATTCATCTGAAGGTGCTACTCAGATGGTCGTGTGTTCGGTCACCCACTCCACACTCCCTTCCAATGAGTCCCAGTGAGGTTTCATGTGACTGAGCTTTTTGAGATCCGATTGTACTCTTCAAATTCCATTTGTTTCTTGGATCACTTACCTAAGCGTGTATTGAGTAAATCACTCATTTGTGAACTGAGATTATGTTAACGTGCACGTCGAATGAATTTTTCATTGACATGTTTTACTGCACGGTGAAGGAGTACCAATCGCAGTGGTGAAATACAGCACTTGTACTGGACATCATGGGGGGCACTTCTCAGTTTTTCCTGAGAACAGACAGTTCTCCGAACAAGTGTCTTCGATAGGACTTCAACTTAACAGTACAATTATTAATATCTTTGTTCTACCTTAAACCAAATTGCACGAAATTTGACTCCTAAACTCATAATAAACGAGAGATTAAGCTGGGTCCCAAGTGAATCTCCCTTCAAAAACAAATTTGTATGCAGATGAGTGTAATTGTTGGATTTTGTGCATTTAGCACATGTGGTTGACGGAAAGTTGGGGACTGTGTCTATATGAGACCGAAGAAGGGTAAAACAGGTCGTGGACTGTCGGCGGGTTTTCAGCAACCTTATGAGTAGTTTGTTACGCCCATACAATAAATAAAATGTTCGGGAGCGCTAAAGCGCTGTCTAAAGGTTTCAAAGGGTTTGTGTCACTTGATTTCATTCACTCTGTCATAACCGACCGTGTACTCCTTTCCTAGTAATCCCAGTAAATTGATGTAACCGAATTCGAAGTTCTACACCCTTGGGGGTGTTTTCCTGCTCCCTTATAATGTCGCATTCATTTTTTGACTGTAATTGCAAGTTGAGGCCTTACTAAAAGCATCTTTTATCAAGGCCATCAATACCCACATTGTTTCTTCAAGGTACCTCTCATCTGAGTCTGTGATCCGCAATGAAACAAGGCTGTGAAATTACACACACACAAATCACAAATTAACTTGGGGTTAACGGTGAACATACCTAAATGTCTAATGAGTCTCATCTGAAATAATCTGTAATTGAATATGCTGCACAGAAGCGCCTCGCGTTTCACTCAGCTGGAACGGTATTCAAGATATCGTAGGGTTGTTCTTGACCTGACATTACTTATCACAACCTTGCTGAAAATCCTTCGATAGCCCATTTACTGGTTTCGCTCGTCTTCGGACTCCTCAGGTTCACCTAGTCCTTCAGTTTCCATCAACTTTTCTCATAGTTGATCGTCAAATTGAAGGTAGAGTAGGTATAAGATGGGATCTTGTGGCTGCGCTCACCTGTTGAAACCCAAGAAGAGTAAAAATGACGGTGGCTCCACCGTACTTCACACAAATAAACAGCGTCACTCTATTCGAAGAGGGACAGACAGTTTCCTGGGGTAGCTATGGGAAGATCACTGTGTTTCCATAGCATAGGCTTACCAACTAAAGTTGACTGCTTCCAGTCACAAATTAACGCTTATTGATCGTGTCTTGCCTTGTTTTTGAAGGGACAGGTGTCAGTCAGTTTCGTTTTATCCATAGTGTGCGAATTGAAGTCAAGGTGATGAAACTCCAAAGCACTCCGTATCTTGGTACTGTGAGGGGATTGAGTATTTTCAATAGAGATTTCATCCCTTCCGTGAATCCAGTCTGTATTGGAAAGCCGAGGAGGACTGTACAACTGTGTTATCCTCATTGGGAATCATTGCAGTGCGCACCTCACGAAACTCAAAAAGTTTCGAACGCGTGATCTTCCGGTGGGTGATTGAACACAACCGTTAGACTGCGAGTGATTGATCAGAAGTTTGAAAGGTCCCCACTTGGACAGGACGTACTGTCACTTATTGACTGGCTTCTCGAGTAACGATGTCCCAGATCCAAGTTGCGCTCATCTTGTGAAATTATCCCTCTGAGCTGCTTATTGGTTCGTTTTCCACTTGAGTTTCTGAGTGCTACTCTGGGAGAAAGATTATTCCTGTTCGATTACTACATGCTTTTGCTAGCCCAAGATTCATATCTAAAAAAACGGCTTGCAAAAATTTTCAACTTTAAATTGCTTATGAGTTGGATTTTGCTTTCGCACAAATGACGCTGTATTCGCAATACAGTTGGGAGTCACCAAAACTGTTTCTTTGGAATTTTTCTTCGACAATGGTTTTCTATATCGTGGGAGTACTTTACCTCGATATTTTGAATGTTGAGCTAGCTAAACCCCCGAATTTATGTTTTCAATACATATTCGGTTGTAGCAAACCATTAACTGGCGAATCATTCTCACGGTTTTCAAATGCGCAATTTATTCACCGTAATTCGATTCGGTGATGTTGCGGAGTATGGGCTTCTCGGGGAGGGGCTACTTTGTTTCTGGTCTAGTTGTCAAAGTTGGCAGTTTGATTGGAAACGCATCCTCGCCACTGGTGGCATCATCAATGGGGGAATTAGGACGAACGCAGTCCGCACTCTCGATGGGCGATCAAATGTATGCAACCCAACTGCCTAGCTCAGTAAGCAGACCAACGACCAAATAACTCGATTCATGTTTTCTTTGACTATGTCCTACTCACCTTCACATTCTTGAAGGTCTCAGAGTACAAACGGGTTTTCTTACTATCTCTCTTATTACAGCGGACTAATGGTAACCTACGAACGAGCTCTATTGGATGCGGACGCGTATATGCATAGGTGTAACACTGCGGCCGTTGCACGACTGACACGACTAGCGCAAGAGCGTGATGAAGCTGTGGAACAGGTTGCCAATATGCACAAAGCTTGTGAATACATGGTCCGCGGCATCCAGCGGGCAAAAGAAACCATTGAAACGAAAAAAGAAGTGAGTTTTTCCAGGTTAACAACTTTCGTCCTAACTGTCAATTTGCACGAACAGACGCAGACAAATCCGTTCTATTCGCTCGCCTACCATCTGTGTTCAACGCTTGCCCCAATCATAGACAAGACCACAAACGTAGTGTGCATATCTTGTCAGTGATATAATTGGGAGGTCACTTGTTTCTCAGTAGTATCTAGTTCGACGTGAATTTGTTTGCTTCTGTCCCGCTGTCGGATATCTGTACACTATTGAGGTACTTCACAACAGATTGAATTGCTGCTGAGGATAAGACATAAGGGATACTAGGAAACCAGTTGTGAACCACTTCCTGGTTGACCGCACAGCTTTTGTGTGGAATCGAACCTCGCTTGTTCGTACAACAAAATGCGATCGTAGGACAGGATGGATGTGGAAACTAGCTAGACGGAACCGCCTTAACTACACGACCCAACATTTTTATAGTTCATTACGGCTGAAACTAAATTCGCACGAAGGTGGTCCGAACAGGTACCGCCCATCTCCAACCGTTCAGTCGCATTTTCAGTGCATGAAAAAAATTCATTTGCACACTAATTTGAAGAATATCATGAACGATAGATTCAGCTGGGATTCATTGAGTCATTGAGACCAATGCGTAACTGAGTGCATTCCTCTCCAATTCGGGATCCAATGGAGCGTGAGGTTAACGGCGAGTCCCGGAAAGGGCGAAACTGAACGGGGGCCGTCGGAGACCTTTCGACAACCTCAAGTATCGTTTTGTCAAGAATGTAAATTTTTCTGTATAAAGTCGTTAGATGTTTTCCCTAGCATTGTTGTCAACTAGTAAGCAACAGCTACATGATGATTCATTGGTAGAAAATTATGGTGATGAACTCGACGTCAGTACAGTGGTTACCGTCCGCAATACGGATCATCGCTGAGAAAGGAGATAGTAGACCTCCACTGATAGCCAACTGGTGGAAGGATTGCTCACTAGGGAACGGTGTTGTAATTCTTCCTGGAAGATTCATGTATGGACATTTTGGGTTCGCTGTTCAGTACAGTCGTAGCAACCTAGCTTGTGTAGCTGGCCATTGATTTGTTCACTGGTTACTCATGCTTCACAACCAATTGTTGTATAACGGAGAAATGTGTCGCATCAGTCGGTTTGCAAACACACCCCAACTCGTAAGTTGAGTCAGTTTTTCCCAGAACATGTGCCACTCGTGTTAGCACGCCACAACCCACCGGACAACCCTCATATTTCTGAAGGTACCACTGTTGAGCATATCTCGTTAATTGTTTGTGTTAAGGATACGTATGGGCGATATCGATTTTGCGACAGATCCCATGCGCCTTCACGATGAGCTGTACTACGCTTTTCTCATGGCGTTTCTTGAACACGCTGACTGGGCTGCTAGTTAGCATCCAGCGAGATTGTGGTATTGAGCCTCTACGCAATTTCTTTTACCTTTGATTCTCTGGTTCTTTCGTTATTAGGAAGCCAAAATAGCACGCTTTGGTTCAGGGAGGCTTTAAATTGAGGGATGTGGAAGTTGGTAACTTGTAAGCTTTTTCGTCGCCAGCTAAAGATAAGGTATACTTGTGTGTACAAGTGTTCGCATATAGTCACCTGTCACCACTATCATTACCAAATTTTCACCGTACACAGTGAATAAAATTAACTTCATCGATTAGCTGTGTTTCGCTCTGGGACTCATTTTCCAAAGTACGATGACACTGATTTTTCTACTCAACGGGTTGTTTGCTCGCTACAGATTGTCCTTTATCAGATATCTGTCGTTGGGTTTTTGCTCTTTGCCTGTGTTTTACGTATCTTGGAAGTTCTGATTGTAGTGTGACAAATGAGATTTATGCACGAATCTCCAATGCTCGGGTCGCGTTTGCCAATTTGAGACACCTGTGGCGTCAAAGTGGTGTATCCCTGAATCTCAAGGAACGTGTGTATCAATATACAGTGCGAGATATTTTATTGGGACGTCTTCAGATGTTCGACAATTGTTGTCCCAGAACCGTAGCTCGTGTGGGTTCCTGTCGGCTTATTCTTATTCGAGGCAGTTAAAAAGCGAGTTTTCGGCTGTGCAACGGGTACTTCCATTGTGTCTAGCACCAGAAGCTGTGTTGGTTAGGTCATGTATTGTGTAAACCGAACCGCTTGCCGAAGATTGCTGTTTTTTTCATGCCCTATTCGGAATGGCGTAAGCACAGAATTGGTCAACACTTGACTAAGTTGATAGGTATGAAAGAGCTTACCAAGCTCTTGAGTGTTGTCGGTGCTACTCACCTTCCAGGATGGAGACCGCGTGATTTTCACTGCGCCTAGTTTGAAACGCTGCAAGATATAGGTGCTTATCGCTGTCACTGGCGTTCAGTTTCTATCCAGATTGCCTGAATGGATGTCTGGAGGTGTAGGCACCTCGGAATGATTGTAGTAAGCTAGCTTTAATTCCCTTCTCCGTTCACTTTCATTCGTTTCTTCACAATAAGGCTTTCAATTAAATCATGGTTGTAAGGCAGCAAAGCATCTGTGTTGAACACTGATGTCATGCTGTCGATGCTGATGATGCTAATCTTCACCACATCCAGTATAATATGTCGTTTATCTGGTGTGTTTGGGTACAGTAAATCGAGCAAATGTAGTGCGCGCGACTTGGGCCCGAATTTATTTTTCTTTCATTCAGCAACTTAGATGCTTCTCATTTCGGGACGGGAAGAGGGAGCATCGGATGTACGTGCATGGTTATAAATGAGCATTGCTTGCATTATTTTGTCGTGACCCCCTTCTGGAGATTAATGAGTCAATTCCAGTGCCTTTGAACCACGATCGGTGGCGAATTCGCGGCATAGGACCATCCATTTTCTATCCCATTGCTTAATACAGTAAACTAAAACGCGACCAGATAAACCAATATAGGCTTAAACTGTGAAGAGTCTTCTTCGGTACGACTGCTTCGGGTACCGGTGGTCTTCAAACGACATGCTAGAACCACTAGAGTTGGATTGACCTGGAAAGTGTAACCCTGTCGATCCGACCTACCTCCACTGTCCATCGTGAGTATCAGCAGTACCATTTCCCACAAGCCCATCTTAGTGCGAGTCGGACAGTCGTTTATGCACACGGATTTTTGTCCAGAGGCCGATTTCCGTACGTGAACGCCAATGGGCTGTTTTTTAGTTGCTTGGGAGAATGGTATAGCTTTTCGGCAAACGAAGTGGTGGTCGCTGAAAAATAAGTAACTGGATCAGCTTGGAAGGGTTGTTTGATTAAATACTTGGTTGGCACCTCACTGCACCGCTCATTAGCAGTTGCTTTGTGAAAAGATTCATGGAAATTGTGTTGACCCTATAATTTACTCTTAAGCGCCACGTAGGCCGCCGTTGACAGTAACCATTAGCTGAATGAACCATCCTCCGACACCTTTAATCCTGTTCATTACGATCGTAGCCCACATTATTTCGGCTAAATACATGGACTGTGACCGTTCAAGTTGGATTCGCTCTCCTAAGTTTACGAGAAGAAATACTCTACTGACATCGATGTTCTTAGAAATCAGTGCTTTTTGATGAAAGATGGAAGAATGTAAGTGCACGCAACGTTGTTTGCTTCTGCTAATTTAGCTAACTCCGCATCCTTCCTTCTCAATACCTCTTTGTATTGATTGGCTCGCATTTGCTTATGACGATCCTCCCTTCGAGCGCACACTCATGAAACCGATGTTAAGTGTTCTTAATCAAGATTCCATTCTTCAAGTGAAGCCAATCTATGCTGAAAAGCCGAGAAGCACTGTACGGCTTTTCTATTCTTATTTGGAAACTGTTCGCTCGTACAGGAAGGGGTCAGTTAATCCGACTGTGGTATGGTTCCAAGATTGAAGACCAAAGGGCATCTTTCCGAGTTCAGGTTGTTTTTCTCCAAAGGCGATTCACTAAATGTTACTTCATCATATCAGCCACTGAATTTCGAAGAGAAGCTTACTGTTTTCAGATCTGCTTTGTTTCAAAAAGCAATACAGCTTGACGAAATACCTTTATTTGAAAAAATTAGCCTACTTTTGGCGAGTAACTCAACTGGATCCCAGCTGAATCTCTCGTCTTTGACATTGTTCAACTTTTTGACCTTGTGTTTCTGATCTCGTCGTTTTCTTCCGCTCAAGCAATTGTCTTTGCTAGCCGATTTCCATCCTTTACAGAAACAAGCAGCGGCGGTCAGGTTACTCGAAAAATTTGAGAAAAAGTATCCAAAAATGGTGACAAGAACTGAGAAAATTGTCGAACATTTCGTGAACCACCTTGGTGATGCACTTGCTGAGAATCAGAGGCAGCAAGAAGCAGATCTGCGCAAACTGGACAAACTCCGATTCGATTTGCGTCAGGCAGAACTCCGCGAAGCAGCGGTCGCGGAACAAATCAAACAGCTGGTAGGTAACTTTTTCACATGTAACAATTCCGTTACATAATCTACTAAGGAAATTATGTGATCACCCCTAAGTGAACTCCATAACCACACATTCGGGAAGAGGAACCCAAATCCACGTGAGAAATCACTCTCGATTGTGACTCTAGTGTTTACCCACATGGCAGTCAACGCTATGTAGGTCATTTTGAGATAAATGAACCGAGCCTTTAGGTTCCTTTGAACCATTCAGTAGATTTCTGGGTTGAACAACTCGTGCAGTCTCGTCTTCCATGTAAAATGCAACATGATGACTACTTACCTTTGGATGCATACTCTATCCAGCAAATCAGTCACATCGTTCAAAATACGACATACTTCATGTTCGATGGTGGAATACCCTTAGCAAGCTCGCTTCACATATCAGGAGTTTGTCGTCCAAATCCTGATATGACTAAGGATGTGATGCATCAGTAGCTAGCTGTGATAAGGACGATATTCGAGCCTAGTGCCCTACCTTTGGTGAGAACTAACCATAAACGCCGCGCTAGAATAAGATTTGAAATAAGGATGATCTAACTTATCAGCGGAACCGAGGCAATGTCAGAGCAGACCTGCAGTCTTTCTGAGCGCACTTTTGTGCTTGTTTCTAACAGCTACTCAAACGATTTTTATGCACAATGAAGCAGCCGTCCACCTAAACCGAAGGTCCTCGAGGCAACATGAACTAATCGATCCAGGCCTGTATTGTGCTTTCAGTCCTGCGTTAGTCCCTCTCTCACGCTGTTCCTCCCCACACGATAAACCATTACAGAGAGTAGGGAGACCCAGTTTACTTTTGATGGAGTAGCACCAAGTGGTGGTGGAACGCTTTTATGTACTTTTCGAAACTGTCCCTCTTGGAAGGTTGTTCTATTATAATCATCACTTTCTTTAGGTTTCATTTCGGCTAAATTCACATTACTTTACAGATTGCCAGTTAGTATGTGATGTTCGCACTACCGAATGTTAACTGTAACATGCGATTCCCTTTTTTAGGCAACAGTGCTGATTATACCGGCATTGTTAGGATACTCACCGGAAGTTCTCGGGTTCGAATCTCGAGATTTGGGAAGATTCAAACTAGTGAATATCTACAGCAAGACTGATAGAACTGTGGATCATTTGATTGTAGACCGAGTTGCAGGGTGGAAGCTCTACTGGTACCCAAAAATCTCACCGTGTATAAATTCTTTAAGGTGTCGAGTTCAAGTGTTAGAAAACCCTCAGTTAAAATACAATTCCGAGCTCTCCATTACACTGTATTTTTAGACCTTAAACAAAAGGCCATTGGCCCACCTGCTGAGGCTGTAAGGCTTACGGCTCCTACAGACTCGCCAGTATTACCCTGCAATCCCTTTATGGGTATTCAAAGTGTACCCCGTTCGCGAGGAAATAACCTTTCTCTCTCCACTCACGGCTCCCACCATTTTTTGTTCTTGCAGGAAAAACAATCTTCTGAGTTAACCAGGATTTGTCAACAATTTTTCCCCTGAAGAATCCGGATTCATTTCGTTCACTCTTATTTTTTTAAATTCTAAGCTACGTGTCTCCATTGGTCGTTATATAGTTCGTGTATCTGTTGATTTTACGAACTGTTTTTCCTCACTGATCGGGTCGGGTCCTAATTTCCTACATTCACGTTATGGCAAGAATCTCGCCCTTCAAATTCAAAGACTTTTGAAAATGTGTCCATCCTACATTTGCTTCGATACACGTCTGAATGCGTTTCTTATCTGACCGATAGATTTTTTAGCCAGTAGAGAAGTCCATGAAAACATCACTACCACATAAATTCTGGAATGCTCAGGCTTAGAAAACCTTCAGTTGGTCCGTTTTTTCTCGTGGTGCAACAGTACTGATCACGGTCTGACAGCTTTTGCCCATGGACTAGCGAGGTTTCGGCAATGGTGAATCAGCTGACAGCAGAATTCTCCGCAAAACGTCACATGGCAACACCACGGCATGGCCAGCGTTACCCCTCCGTATGTGGGTTTCACATGCCCTAAAAACAATATGAATTCCCGATCATCGAATCGATGGTACGACGGTCACCGACAAGCATTGGATCCCGTTGTCCTCAGAATTGCACTTGAGACTGGACGAATCCGTACAAACATCAGAGCCAACAGATGGGTTCGAGCTAAAATCCAACGGCGTTGCCGACAGGCTTATTTTCCTCACCGTTTCTTGCGATATGCACTTGGCGATGCAAACACTAGAAGTGCACCCTCGGACAAAAGCCGTGCAGTGCCTGTAGCGTCACTGGTAAACAAATTCTCATGTTATTCCACGATTGTCCCGTACGCCACTTAACAGGAGTTACTCGGGATGTCCTAGGTGCCAATCCGTTCCTACTTGGGAGAAACTTGTCTGAAGTAAACTGGGACAAAAATTGTAACATAATCACACTGCTGCGTTGAAGGGTTGGAGGTATTTCTGTAAACAACACCATAACATTAAAACTGCGAGGTTTTTTAGGAGGGATATGCGCAGACCTCTTACTGGTATAACATAGTCTGAATATCAGAAGTTTGAGTTTCAGATTCCTATTTGAACACTTCAAAAACCAATAAATTTACTTCCTATTTGTCTGCGCTGTTATTTCAAGCAATCATAGGATATCAATTTGTAAAATTGCTGAAGAGCAGGTGCCCTGCCTTCGGAGATATTTTGGTTCTCTCGGTGACCTTCCCTTGCTATGGGTTCTCCTATGGTAAAATTTTTCATTGCTCAGGTCTAGGTAGTTTCGAGCATTTGTTCGGCTCTGATCGCAACCATTGCGGATAGTTGCCTCACTACGCACCAACAGGTGTTTGCCCCGCTGCATCAGAAGAAAACAGCATTACTCAGCCAATGGATAGGAAGCTGACGGTTGTGTTACCCTGAACTTCTGCCAGGTAGCTAGTATAGTATAGCATAGTGTCCGATCTGCTAGTGAATCAAACGATAAAACCAATTTGCGAAGGCAATTTGATAGTTGAATTGCCTATTACACTCTCCCCATTAGGGCGCATGGTGAGTGGGTCGAAATCAGAGAGAATACGTTTGCCTAGAGTATAGTGAAAGTAGAACTTTTGCGCTCATTCATAGTCGTGTTGATTCTCGCTGAAGTGCATGAAGTAGCCGATAGGTTGAAGGGTGCGGATTTATATAAGCTTTCCGGTGGTCTCTCGTCTCCTAATTAATTAAATATGGACCACTAGAATTCAGAGCAAGTTAGTTTTCCCTTTGATCTATATAGTGAGTGAAACAAAAACAGTCGTTCGGCTGGAGCACCCTTTCAGTGCCTAGCTGCCATGCCACCAGAAGGAAGCACGAGGGCTTTGGTACTGCCAGACTGACTAAGCCTAGATAGAAGAAGTCGAGATACGGGAACCGGGCTTCGAATCACGGACCTTCCAGTCATTAAATTCGCGCTCTAGCCACTGAGCCGCCTTACCCCCATAAGTAAGTAGCATGTAGACAGATACCCTTCACGTAGAGTGACAAGTTGGTTTCCTTTTCCAATTACATCCTCGTTTGCTTTCCTTGGATTTTGTGGAAAAAAGAGCATCAGTGAGTGCAAGTCATAAATGTCCTGCTCTAATTTTTCTCACCAAGCCGGGAGGAAGTCGGTTTGTGCTTGTTCGGGATCGTGTCGGGTTATTGAGGGCCACTTCTGTTTAAACTGGATGATGGTTCGAAAACCTATTGGCAAACCTCTTGATGGAGCTCGAAGCATCGTGATGAAGAAGCCATATTAGCATACTACGCGAAGTGAGAGAGAAATATGAATTTTCTTTCTTCATTTTTAGCACCTATATGTTAGATCTGTAAGCAGCCCATCGATTTGGTTTCTGGTCAGATCTCTGCTTCCCAATTTTTCTCCAAAACGTCCGAAATGGTGCGTGTTTGGAAACCAGTAGCAGGAAGGTTTACACTAATACAAAGGAATGTAGGACAGAAATAATTAAACCTGATATATATAACTATATGAAGAAATGCATTCAAATATGTGGTGAACGAGGCGGAGGATGCCTGAAGGGGATGTCAACTTTTTGCCCGTGGTACTGGAAAGATCTTTATGTTTGAGAGAGGGTTTTGGATTTTCACAGCACAGGGTTGATTGCGCTTGGGGGAAAATCACACGGAGAACAGCACCAATTTTGGTGGAATGCACGCAATTCTAAAATGAGTTGCAGTTAACCGTACACTTAGCTGAATCACTCGTTTGTGATATCCTTTGACTGCGTATGTTGTGCACGGGCTGCCTCATGTCTCATTTGGTACGATACTCGCAATACATTGTCTAGACCTAACGCACTGCTCATGAGGTTGCTGAAAGCTCCTCCACAGCCCACTACCGGTTTCGTCATATGATGCTTTTCAGGTAGGTTTGGCCCCGAACCATCTGAACAACTTATGTTCTTTTGTTGGCAGCTAGGGAAGTAAAAATGTGAGATTCTGCTGGGATTCAGTTTCGTTTCCAATAATACCAAAATCATCTGTTTCGCACAACTTGGTCGTCAAGTGAAATATTCGGCCAGTGGGGGATGACGGCAAGAAAGTCAAGCACTTGTGAATGCGTTGCACAACCACGCGGCCTGTTAGAGTGAAAGTCGGTGCGGGAGACCTCCATATAGAAGATAGTTTATAATAAATCGCCCTATGCTGAGAGGATTAGAAACTTTCAGCAATTTCAGGTCGATGCTCTGAGCTAGCATCAACCACTGACTGGTATACCGGGTTTACTTGAGTCGATTCAGAAGTGCAGTGCTTCTTGACCGATGGATTCACTGAATGGACAAGGATCGACCGTTTGGAGTTTAAACTGCAATACACCGACAGGACTGTATTAAATTTCGTTTCAACACAGTAAGTTGCGGGCAATTTTCTACTCGGTTTTTACTTCCTACATCTCAAGTGAGACCAAGTCTCGGGAGGCCACATTTAGTCGGTCTCTCCAGTAGATTTTGTCAGTTATGAGCAGCAGTAAATTGTTTTACACTCAGAACAAAAGTTCATGAGATTCTAGTCGAACTTCTCAGTGTTCATGGTTGCCACACCTTATGTAGTCAGCGATAGCTGAAAAATCTGCCCAACTGCTGAGACCTTAAGGAGAGTACAGATATTATGATTGCGATACCAGATTTCACAAATACTCGTGTGTCGGAGGAAGTGATCTTTCTAACGCGTGGCCACGTAAACGGTTGTGAACACAATCATGTGAGTCTGCAGGATAACGGTGAGGCATATGCTAAATTCCACTCTGGGTTTTGGTTAAAGAAACGCAGTGCTACAGAGCTTTCATGGTAAGTGAATGTGGTATACCATACCAAGAGAAAGTAATTGACCATTTTTCACTATGATGGTGATAAACAGAGGTGGTCCACACATAGCAACCTTGAGGCGGACCTTTCTTCGTGCGCTCTCCTAACTAGATTCCACTCTAATTAGCTCACATAAGTAGTCCAAGAACGCAAATTACTAACGACGTGAGTTGGTTAGTGGCACACAACAAATTGTTCGAAATATGACAGCACCGTGAAGGTCGTCTTACTACTAACCTAAACCATCCATTCTCATATTCCCCAGTGAATAACGCACTTATATTGGAGTCCATAGTCTACAGTGAATCGTCGCTATCAGGCAGGGTGGTGCAATAAGTGAATGATAACCTGGCACCATCGTTATTGTAGCTAAAACACCGGTAAAGGCCACCGCCAGTGCTTGGCTAGAGATGAAGTTCAGTCAAGGGGAATCCCCCCGCACCATTTTCCAGCGCGAACAACTCGGACCAGAAATCTTCCGCGCCAGTCTGGTCTTAAGCACACATGTCTGGACAACTGACTTAAATGGTTCATCATCTCATGCATGATAGCTAGCTGCCACACCGCCCACGCATGTTATTGATCTGTGTTATGTGTTCCATCTTTTGATTGGTCACCGTGATATGTAGGTATTCTCTCGTCCATTTGTGAGATTTCGGGTTAACAAGCTAATTGACGGTCCCGCTCTGTGCGTCTGGTCATACACGCATTAGGAGACATCAGCGGCGATAGGTCGTAACCACACACAATCAGTCCAAACACACACATTCGCTAGGTAACAGCAGGAGCAAACAGCAATGTGACCTTAACAGAACACACTACTCATCAGGTTGCTGAAAACTTCGGAAGTGTAATTTGCAAATGTTATCTCTCGCCACTTAAGCTCTCATTGTTTTAATGGGAGAATCATCCAAGCTTACGTCACAGACGGATGTCTCCCCCCCCCCCAACCATAAACGCGTAAACTGGCATGAGCCATGTCAGGCTTTCTTTACGCGCCGGAATATGAAGTGGTATCTAAAGCCTGGTTTAGACCATACGAGGGTATGTTCGAAGTAGCCGGTGCAGCTCCGGATGGTGTAGCTTATGTTCGTTTGCGGAGCCAGTGGACACCACAAGTGTCAGCTTCCTCCTATCCATTTACTCAATTTCTTAGTTATGCGGGCTTACAAGGGCTCTGGCACTTTAAAATTTTAACGCAGGATACTAGATGAGCACCTGATTACCGGCTCTAATTATGATGGTAAAGCCTATTCCCCCCAT